CAGGTGTGAACACTGACTTAAAAAAAAAGGCTCCAGTTAGTTCTGTTACTAATAATATTTTGGTTTTTTTCTCATCTAAATGTATAATAAATCCAGGTAGCTATTTAGAAGTACGGCACATTTGAAAGAAGCTTTTAGGACACAGAAGTCAAAGTTGTTCACTCTGTCATTCGAAAGATAACATAGCTAAGCTGAATCAACTCTTCAGGATGTTATCCCTCAAGCACAATTCACCCTCCTCATACCTTCAGATGCTGGGGATTGCGGTACTTGTCACTGCTCTTGTCTGAATTACAAAGTCTTTGAAAGTCCAATCGTCATTTACATACTCAAAGAAATGCATGTTTTAGGGCAAGTAACCTATTTAGTAGAATAAGTTATTGTAAGTAACAGTTTTTAAATTTCAGCTCCATAACTTACCGTAAAAATGAAAACAATCACTAGACATATTAATTAATATACTAAAACGCATAAAATGCTTAACAGTGTAAAATGTCTGGCACCCATCAAATGCTCAAGGTGTGTTAGTGCCTACACTATAGGGATGAACTGTGTGGCTATTGTTGTGGTCACTACCAAACGTTACTTCTGAGTCTTTGGGTTAAAACTTTTAAAGAAGATTTTTAAAAGATCATTTGTTTTGTTTGTTTGTTTTTTAGGTTCTTGCCAATTATGTTACAAAATGAATTGTCTCTGAAATGTGAGAACACTGTGGTCCTGGTTAATTTTTTAAATTGTTAGTTTCACCATACAAGATGTCTATAGTGGCTCAGCATGGTGGCTCATGCCTGTAATCCCAGCAATTTGGGAGACCAAGGCAAAGAGGATTGCCTGAGCCCAGGAGTTCAAGACTAGCCTGGGCAACATGGTGAGATCTTGTATCTACAATAAATCAAAAAATTAGCTGGGTGTAGTGGTGCGCACCTGTAGTCTCAGCTACTTGGGATGGCTTGAGCCCAGCAAGTCGAGGCTGCAGTAGCCACGATCATGCCACTGCACTCTAACCTGGGCAACAGGTGAGACTCAGCCTAAAAAAAAAAAAAAAAAAAATGTCTGTGGTATCCAACAGTACTTGATTTTATTGATGTTGTAATACTTTTAAATGGATGGACAATGGAAACAAAGTGAAAACGACCTTGGTAACACCGGAATCCAAAACCTGGGCCACGTCTTCACCAGCGAAAAGCCAGCTCACAGAACCTTAAGCACACAGGATTCTAGCTGACACCCCTCAGTGTCATATTAAATGTCTCACTAAACATCTGCTCACTCTGCAGTTGTGGTGTGGAAGTTCTTGGCATAAAGAAGAGTCCATCATCTCAGAATAAGTTTATGCTTGGACTGTGAAAAAGCAAGAAAGCTGGAAGAACAATCATCTTAGAAGGATGAAGCACTCTTGTGAATATACTAAAGAATCAGCAAGCCTGGGCAACATAGATCCCATCTCTACAAAAAAATTAAAAAAAAAGCTGGGCATGATGGCAAGTGCCTGTAGTCCCAGTTACTTGGAGGCTGAGAAGAGAGGATCATCTGAGCTCAGGAGGTCATTGCTGTGGTGAGCTGTGATCGTGCCACTGCACTCCAACCTGAGCGACAGAGTGAGACCCCAATTCACATAAACACACACATACACACACAAAGGAAGAAATCAGAAACATCATCATTATGATCTGACTGGGTGGGCTGAGTGACAGATCTGTTTATTTCTCTGAATGGCAATATTAGGAATGATGATCTGTGTAGCAGTAGTTTTTCTTCCGGACACCCCTTTCTCTTGCTAGCCACCACTTTGGGGGAGTGATTTAGGGGTAGCTGAAGTCAACTAGCCCAGGATGAAGAGTCCCTGCAGTGCCCACGCCACCTCGCTGCTCCCGGCTGTCTCTAGTTTAGGTTCTTGAGAAGCATATGGTTGACATTTCCTTTCTGGGAACCACTGAGTTAGGGAAGGAAGTTGACGTTCAGCTGAGTTCTGTCCCATGGGGGAAGGGAAGGGCGGGACCAGAGCTCTGAGCAACAGTTTCTGCTTTCACAGGGCTTGGTTTTCTAAGTGTCTGGTTCCTCTTTATAAATGTCAACATAATTTGTGTAAACAGCCCGACCTAATCCCCTTTCCGAGGACAGATGATGAAGTGTTCAGAGAGTGGCTTTCTTTACCCAAACTCTTGGCCACAACTCAGCTCAACATTCTTAATTGGCTTCCAGTCTATTTATAATCTTTTGAAGACCTCATCAAGCCTAAAAAAAAAAAAACGTTTGATTTAAATATTGCTCCTGCGAGAATATTTTCCTCATGTTAGAAAATGTAGCTTTGGCCGGGTATGGTAGCTCAAGCCTGTAATCCCAGCACTTTGGGAGGTGGAGGTGAGAGGATTGCCTGAGCCCGCAGGTTGGAGACCAGCTTGAGCAACATGGTAACATGGTGAGACCTCATCTCTACAATAAATAAAAAAATTAGCTGGGCGTGGTGGCACATGCCTGTAGTTCCAGCTACTTGGAAGGCTGAGGCAGGAGTGCCTGAACCCAGCAAATCAAGGCTGCAGTGGCCATGAGTATGCCACTGTATTCCAGACTGGGCGAGAGTGTGAGACTCTGACTCAAAAATAAGAAAAAAAGAAAAAAGAAAATATAGCTTTGAGGACAATCCAACTGAAGCGTCAAGCCCTGCCAGATGACCATGGTAGAATTGGAGCTTCTAATCTAGGCTGGGAATTCTTGGGAGCCCCAAGGTTGGATGCTGGTTCTGTCATTAACTGGCTTGTTTCATCGTCTGTTTTATTTGATGTTGAAATCATGCTTATAATATTATTCTATGCTACTTTCCAGTATGACATCAGTGTCTTTGGCACTCTGGGCTTTATTAGTCCATGAAGTGGAAGTTTCTGCGTCCTTAAGAATGCCTTGACTCTCTTGCTAATGTGATTATTTTTGAAATGCTTTTCTAGGGCTATCATATATCCATGCTGCTTGTTTGCAGATGTTTGTTTGGGAAGTGGTGGCTGATCTAAAAATATTCAGAGAGAATGGGGGGAAATGAAGGCTTCTGACACACAAATGCTCTGACACTTCCCAATATCTCTGTTACCATCACAACTAGTTAACTTGATGATTCTTTAAAGCCTTGCTGCTTTCTCCTGATGCTCCTATTTTATTTCTTCAATCTGTTTTTGACTCCTATAATCCCACCATTGCAATTTAAATCTAAAATAATTATCTTTAGACTAAAGAGTTCTGGGGTCCAGACTGACAAGATTCAAAACCCAGTCCAGCCATTCTGCAGCTATGTGGCTTATCTGTAAAATGTGGATTAAAATGAGCACTCATCCTGAGAGACGATAAGTGGATTAAGCAATCACAGTTGAAGCTATTATTGTTTCTCTTTTCTTTAATAATATTAAATTTGGCAAGGGGAAAATATTGGGCATCTATATTGGCAAGGTACTAATTGGGCAATTTATTTATGATCCCATTTTAACCTCTGTGAGGCAGGGATCCACATCTTCTTTTTCAGATGATTAAATTATGGCTAGAATACTTTATGTAATTATCCTAAAGGTTGCATAACTAGTAAATAGTTCGAGTGCAGGCTTGTCTCCAAAGCACATGCTCTTTTCACTACTGGACATAACACTTTTTTCATGTTTTTTTTTTTTTCAGGTTATAATGTTTCGGGAGTTTCTACTACCATTGTAATAATTAATTCCTTTTATATATATAAAAGCAAGCAAAGTAAAAGAAGAAAAGTAAAAGGGGAATGGGGTGTCATTTGATAGGGAAGAGGTAAGAAAAAAATGACAAATTTGCAAAGGAATTTAACTACTGGCCTGTTTGCTCAGTCTTACGGAGTGAAAAGCAGAGGACAGGTCTGACGATTTCTGCTGCAGGCTGCCCTGCTCACAGGTGACCTTCTATAAACAACCTCATCTTTCTGGATTTCAATTTAAGCATGCCTAAAATGAGGCGGCTGAATTGATCTCCAAGTTCCCTTCTGGTTCTAAAATTCCAGCCTTGCAGCTGTGGATACCTTCCCCATCTCAGTCGAGTTTTCCTTGGTGCGGGACCAGACATCTTTGCCCGAACCCTGTTCTTAGTCGACAGAACACTTTTTGTTTTTATTTGAGACAGGATCTTGCTCTGTGGCCCAGGCTGGAATGCAGTAGGCAATCATAGCTCACTGCAGTCTCGAACTCCTGGACACAGTGATCCTCTTGCCTCAGTCTCCCAAATAGAAGGGACTAAAGGTAAGTGCCACCACGCCTACTTAATTTTTTTTTTTTTTTTTTTGGTAGAGCCGGAGTCTGGCTCTATTGCCCAGGCTGTCCTCGGAACTCCTGGCCTCAGGCAATCCTCCTGCTTTGGCCTCCCAAAGTGCTGGGATTACAGGCCAGGCGTGAGGCGCCGCGCCCAACCTACTACGCACTTTTTAACACCTCCGCTGGGATCTAAACTCCACCGTCGCCCCTGACCACGGGACTAAAGGGCAGGGTTGGGGACGGGGAAGCTGAACTCTGCTGGGGGTGGAAAAACGCAAGAAAACCCCAGAGCAGGACCAAGTCCAAGAGTAGCAGAGGGAAGAGCCGGCGGCAAGGCGAGGCCGCCCCGAGGCTGCC